GTGGTGGACACGGCCGCGTGGAGCGCGAGTGGAATCGCGTCAAATTCGCCGGGAGTTGGATACAATGGATTGGTGGAAGAAGTGAACAGTAGTAGGTGGTGGACGGTAGGTGGTTGGAACGAGGGGGGTTGGTCGATCCGCCGAGTCTTCCTCCGATCGAGATCGATCCCCGCGATGTTTCGGTATCGGTTATCGTTTGCCTCTTTTTTTTCGTGTCCCCCTCTTCCTTCCCCCCCCTCCACCTCCTCTCCCCTCTCTCCATCTCTCTTCTTCGACGGTGCGAATTTTCGTCTTCCATTCCTTCCTTCGAACTTTTTTTCCCTCCTCCTTTCTCTCTCTCTCTCTCGCTCTCGTTCTCGCTTCTCGCCCCTTCTCTCTTTTTTCGGTGGACGACGATTTTTTGTTTCCATTTTTTCGGGAAGCAAAGTGGGGGTGGGGGACGCGAGCACCAATTATTTCTTGCCAGGCAGCGCGGGAACAACGAGCGGCGTTGATCTAATTGGTCGCCAGTAGGTAATTGTTCGGTGTCGATAATTGGGCCAATTAATTTGTACGGAAAAGTGCGTCGATAATCGTCCAGCATTCACCGCCGCGATACCGATTATGTGGACCGTGTCGGATGCGGGTTATGGAATATCGTTATTGTCAAAAGGCCGAGAGCACGTGAAACGGAAAAAAAAAAAAAAAAAAAAAAAAAAAGGAAAAAAAAGGGAAAAAAAGAGGGGGGAGGGGAGGGGAAAAATAGAAATAAAAGGGAAGTGAGAGGGAATCATAGAAATGAGGAGGAACGGTCGACGGGACAGGTGTGAAACTCCGGTCGAAACTCGGCGGACACCGGTCACGTAATCGAATATATTTTTCTTTTAATTGAAAAATATTGTCGCTTGGCCGTTTCGGCTGGTAATTTTATGGAGACAGGATTTAATTACACGAAATCACGTCGAATCGAACGATATAATTAAATACCTGTTTTTTGTGAAAAATCGACGCGGGCTCGAGCGGGAGCTCTACCATTTACATCGAAAATATTTGAAATCTGCTCAATATCCCTGCCTCGATCGTCGCTTCGCGCACATCCCGTGTATCTTAGATTCCTCCTCTTTTCCACGATTCCATCTCGGAAGGGATGCGCTCGATTCGAAAATTCCTCGGAACGCGACGATTCACTCTTTGGAACAAGTTTTTCTCTTCGTTTTCCCTCCCTGACGACGAACGCGCAAACAATTCGAGAACAACCTTTCCACCTTTGGGAATTTAAAAAGATCCGTATCCTTCCTTATCCGTTATCGTTAATTTTCAATTTTACCGTGTCGTTGGAAAAAACATATATATATATATATATTTATAAACGCGTTCTCGTCCTCGACCCTCGTTACTCGACCAAATGACGATCGCGAAATTATTGCACGGATCTCTCACGGTTCGCCGTGTTTCGAAAACGGCGATGAAAAGTGAGAGAGAGTGAGAGAGGGAAAGAGAGCGAGGAAGAAAGAAAGAAAGAAAGAAAAAAGAGACGACGCATCGGCCGAGGGTCGTGAAACGTATGACGAAATGCATCTTGGGAACTCGACAATTTAGGGACGCGGAGGCGTTGCATTGTTACCCATAGGGGTGTGGAATTGTATGGGGTGCTCCCGTTCAGGGATTCTCGTAACTTGCTCAACAGATCCGTCATGATCGATAGTCTTCTGGCGTCGGTCGAACGCGATGCCATTCGCGTGGCCCGTACTTTAATTTCCAGTGGTGAGATTGCTCCGTATCGTTCTGTCCATACCGATATTCCCACTCCTCCGTCCTTTCTCCAACCATCTCAAAACCTTCGTTCTTTCGAACGCAATTGATTAAAAAAGGAGGAGAAGAATCGTCATTTCTTTTAAAATGTATCGTAGAATACGCTTTCCACGCTTCTTTCTTTCTTTTTTTTCCGTTTCCATCAAAATTTCATCGCAACGCAACTTTCTTTCTTACCCTTTGTAAAATAAATTCTCGAACTCGTTTGCTCGAATCATTTTCGATTCGTTCGCGTAGCAATAACGATAATCGCGACCACTCGAAGGAGGAATCGCACCCTCGCAATCTGGAAAGATTCGTTTCTAGATCCGTATGCGTTTTTCGTGCGCACCATTCCGGCATTCGTATGATGGCGACATTAAGACAAAGTATTCCCCTCTCTCTCTCTCTCTCTCTCTCTCTCTCTCTTTCCACCCCGTCCAACCCTCCATCCCGTCTTCGTTGCTCGGGCCTGCACCCTCGAACAGCCCCCAAGCATCGCGCAATTCCCCCCCGTGCTTCCTCGGTGCTAAACGCAACTACACGAGGGACCTTTCTGCCGTCTTTGTTTTCCCTTTCTTCCCAGTGTCGTTTTGCAGGCTGGCGAGGGGAGGTCGTTGAACGACGGAAGCGGGAAAGGAAGCTCGACGAGGAAACGGCCGGGGAAAAAAAAAGAGAAAAGGACAATCGAAGAAGTGTCGGCGTCGAAGGAAGGCGAAAGAGGCGAGAAGAGCAACCTGCTCGTTATCGGTGTACCGGGCCGACCGCAACGCGGAAAACGATCCCAGCAACCGTGCAGTAATTACACACCGAACACAACCTTTCCTTTTATTTTCTCTCCTCTCCTTTTCGCCCACCTCGAAACCGCGGTTGGGAATCGCGGTGTGGTGTTTTCGTTTTAAANCCTCCCTCGTGCCCCCGTTCCTCGACCCACGGGACTTCCTCTTCCTTGGTTCGCGAGTGAGAGGAGGAGGAGGAGGAGGGTCATCGAGATCATCAGTGTCGAGTCGGGAGACTTGTCGTTTGGTGGACGAGGTTCGAGGCGAGGAACTATCCAAGATGATCCAGTGTTAAAGAATTGCATCGTTCGAAAATCATGAATCGTTTCAACGAGAATCGTAGCGAGAGGAGAGATCGGCGTCGATGCGACTCGATGGATCCCGGCGGAAGTTTCGATAGCAACGCGACTAATTCGTGACTGATCGGTATCGTTTGTTAACGCGATTGTCGGGAGATAAATCGAATCGATGCGAGGAGAGGAAGCGAGGGGGAAAAAAGAAATTCTCTCGCGTCTCTCGTCAAAAGGAATTCTTCTTCTTCTTCTTCTTCTTCTTCTTCTCCTTCTTCTTCTTCCTCTTCTTGTTGTTCTCTCCTTTCTCGGGGCAAAGGACATTCCTCCGTTCCGATTGTACGCGAGAGAAGAGAGGAAGTGAGGAGAGGGAAGGAGGGAGGAGAGGAGAGGGAAGAGGGAGAAAAAAAGAGAGACAACGGGTGTGTTGTCATCGGGTAGTCGCGATCAGCAGGAGTATATAGCATCAGGATCGTGGAAGAGGGTGCAGCAGGAGAGAGAGATTTTTCCCCACCGCTTGGAAAAACCAACCCCCACCACTCCCGCTTAGTACGGGCAGGCGGCGGTGGCGGCGGCGTGGAAGAGAGGCACGGAGGGGTAGGTTAGCCAGGGTGGTCTCGGTGGTGGCTGGGGGCGGCAGCCTCAAAAATACACCGCAACCACACCGCGCGGCTCCACCGCAGAAGCCGCCATCTTCCACCGCCGAACCGAAACGAGACCGCGCGAGTTAAACACCCTATCCTACTTCCCCGTAGTGGAAGTTGCCGCTGCCACCCGCCCAAGTATCAGCCACGAAGAAGTGTCTCTCGCCTTCTCGCCCCGTGCTCGATCGCTGACAACCAAAAGGAAACCCCGATAATTTCGAATTTCGCTCTTAGTCCGCGCGCCACTCCGTCCATCCGACTCGTCGTCGTCGTCGTCATCGTCGTCGTCGTCGTCGTCGCAAGAAAAGAAGTTTCGCTTCGACCTCGCTCCGTCTCGAGCCGAAAGGGGATCGAGAAAGATCGTCTTCTTTTTTTTTTTTTTTTTTATTGGAGATCGTCGGTGAATAAATCGGGAAGAGATTTAGAGAGAAGAGATCGAGAGCAACGGAACCTTGGGATTTTTCGATTTTTCGATTCGATAATCTTTTTTGTGACGATTGGAAGAGAAAGAGAAGCAAGTGCGCGGTGGACATGGACGTATCATTGGCAAACAAAAACGGGTGACGAACGGTTCAATCTTTAAATTAAACGACGAGGATAAAAGTGGATCGATGGTGGTGAACTATACGCGGAGAGAGAAAGGAAGAGAGAGGAAGAGAGAGAGTTTGGATACTTGGGAAGAATAATGTGCGTATGTGAGATTTGTGTTGCGGCTTGTGGGGCTGGCTTGGAGGATCCCGAGTACAGAGTTAACACCTGTTAGATGGTCGGGCAGAAGTGCTGATGTGCGACAGGAACGTGGAGTAATTTCGATCGACCGCGGGACATTGGAGGGAGGGAGAGGGAGAGAGAGAGAGAGAGAGAAAGAGAGAAAGAGAGAGATAGAGAGATTTCCAAGTGGTGCATCGTTTTACTAATTTCGCGGGGATAGTGGAGCGGTTTGACGTCGTGGTGGTTCCGTCGAAACGAAGTCGCGGAGCGGAGAGCGTGCATCCGATCAAAGAAACGAGGAAACGAAGGGGGGGGGCCACGCGACGACCCCACGTCGATTCCAATAAAACGAATTTTCTCCGCGACTTGGCAATCCCCGAGACGAGAGGAAAGAAGAATTTGCAAACGGATGCTCTTACCTCGGCCCCGTCGCGGGGATAATGAAATAAGGATCAAAGAGATCCCAGAGCCACGCGGGGCCGGCCAGAAATCACCGGGGATCTCCTCCTCCCCTCCCCTCTTTAACCGATCCTCCAGTTGTTCCGTAATGATCATCTTTATCGATCCACTTTATTAGTTCGATCTTTTTTTACACGTTTGCTTCTTTGGATGGACGAGATTCTTTGAACGGAACAGATTAAAAAGAAAAAAAAGAAAAACACAAGGATAATAAGAGTAAGATAAATTTTAAATTTAAGTGGCGGCAGATGGAACGATAAAAAAGGATCGGTTGGTTGATGACGGTGGGATTGGGGAGAAAAAAAAATTGAGTCGAATCGTTCGACGCTCATCGTCGAGGAGGGAAATCTTGGCGGAAAAGAGTCCGATGATCCCGTTCTCATGACGAATCCTTTACGAGATGCACGCCCCGAGGATCGGCCTCTAGGCTTGGACTATCCTGACCCGAGATTGCTGCGAAACGGTCATCAAGAGCATCAGGGGAACACCACGCATCAGATCGGTGCAGCGAGAATCAGACGGACCAGGACCTCGTCCACGAGGAGAAGAATGCATTTGGCGAACGAGGTTCCCCCGCAAGGATCCACCGGTGGTAACAATCTTCCGGATTATGCCCTCACCGCGGACCTGCTCACCGAGAGAACTCTCGACGGTCTCTTCGCCGAGCATCCGGGAGAACTCGTGCGAACAGGTAAGAGAACAATCGGGTGGAAACGATTTTTAATTTCTCCTCCCCTTTTCGCGCGATGTTCGTAGACCAAAATAAAAAAAAGAAACGTGCACTTTGTAAGGAAAAAAAAAAAAAAAAAAAAAAGAAAAGAATTCACCGATTAATTCGGTAACGGTGGCGAACAGGCTCTCCTCACGTGGTCTGCACGGTATTACCGGCGCATTGGAGGTCAAACAAGACGCTTCCGGTAGCGTTCAAGGTGGTAGCCTTGGGCGAGGTCGGTGACGGGACCTTGGTGACAGTGCGTGCAGGAAACGACGAGAATTGCTGCGCGGAATTGAGAAATTCCACCGCGGTGATGAAGAATCAAGTGGCCAAGTTCAACGATCTTAGGTTCGTCGGTAGAAGCGGTAGAGGTAAGACATTGCAATTTTCCATATCACCGTATAACTATATATTCTCTCGGTCTTCGACCAAAGAGATCGAAAAGCAGAATTTTCGAAAAAAGAAAAATCTATCAATCTATCACAAGCCTTCGTTCGCCTTCTCTTGCTCCCCCTTAAAGAATCACTCGTGATTCCTTAAACCAGGCAGACGATTAAGTGGGGGAGAAGGAAGAACGATTGAAAAAATTCGATCACTCGTACCCGTACCGATCCCGAGCTGGAAGGAAGGCGTTTCTGGAAGGCGTCTTAAATCATTCAGCAGTCGGTACATTAAGGCGGTGGGCCAACTGATGGCCTCGTTTTTCCTCGGACGCGAGGCGAAAAGAGGCAGCTGGCCCCTTCGTTCCATCCTCATTTTTAATTCATCCTGCAAACACGGTGTCGTCGTCGTAGTCTCTCTCTTTCCCTCCCTCCCTCTCTCTCTCTCTCTCTCTCTCTCTCTCTTCGTGACTCCGTCTCGATATCTCGACCGGTATATTAGTCGCGAAGATTTTTTTTTTTAATTCCCGCCTCCGCGTGTCAATAATTCACCGTTCCTTCGAGGACAAAGTGAGAGGTAGAAAAGAAGAGAGAGAGAGAAAAAAGGAAAATCGGGGGGGTTCTAGGTCGGGGTTGAATAATGCGGCCTAATAATCGCTGGCATTANAACTCTTAATGCAAACGGTGTCGCGATTCGGGCAGGATCGAGTCAGGGTGGAAGAAGCAAGTTGCTCACCCTGCGCCCTTCTTCCATTCTCCCCCTTCGAATCTGGCCCGTTTTTTTCCGACCGAGAGGGTGGCCGAGGATCCAGAGAGATACGAGTAACGAGGCGTCCTTTAATTCCTTTAATTCGACCGACTGGCAACGACTTGTCCCTTTTCTTCTTCTTCTTCTTCTTCTTCTTCTTCTTTTCATCGCGAGCAACTTTCACAAGAGAGCAGCAGTCACGAGCTGCTAGGTGGTTAACGAGGGGGCTGGTCGACTTGTTTATGGCAAATTGGAAAAGGAAATTGCGGGGTCTATCATCTCTCTTTCGTTCACACGCGCAAACTTTCTTCTTAAACGGTGTTTTAAATGCTTTTCTTTTTTTTTATCGATCATCATACCTGTCATTGATACGTAAATAAATTTCGAATATTTTCCTCGACTTCTCTGGGAGCGAAAGATTTCACATTGCTCGCGATCGACTCGCGATTCGTAAAAATGCCTCTCTCCTTAGATCTTAGACTCTTAGAGTTCTTTTTTTTTCACAGAATCGAAGAATCGGCTAAGAGTGAATTTTTCTGAAGTTACGCAATTTTTTTCGAAGATTAAACAAACAAGTTTGAACGAAAAGAAAAAAAAAAAGAACACTGCAAGATTCGAAATTATCCCGAAAAATAGCGAATCATCTCTTAAAAGGAATTTCTCGCCTTCCTTCTCTCGATCCTGTTGCCGCGAGAAGAAGGAACGAACGTGGCGAATTTTCACCATTTTTTCGCGAAACTCGTCGGACGAGAAGGATATCGCGGATATATATATATAGGATATATATAGTATATATATGTATATATATACTATATATATATATATAGGAGATGACAGAATAGGACGGGTAGAGCGAGAGAGCGAGAGAGTGGCAAAGGGGTGGCAGGGGGTGGCTGGGAGTAGAGTGGTTGGCTGTAAGCGGCTTTGGTTTCCATGGCAGTAAGCCCTCATTACTGTATTACGGGCAGCCCCTAACTACCAGCCGAACGCAACGATTTGCTTCTAAAACCTCTATGAGAGTGACGGATCATGCAAGATTGTTTTCCGCGTGTCCGGAAAATTCCGATCCTCCGATCCGTTTCGAAATATTTCCTCCTCCAGACGAATCCCCATCTTCCCCGCCCTTGCGAAATTGCGAAATTTCCCTTCGAGTTTTCCAAGATTTTTATATACCTACCGATACCCGGTTTATCGTGCCAATTATTTTCACGAGAAATTAATCGATCTAATTCCTCGAGAATGTCGGGATTCTCGATAATACTTCTGCCCCGAATCGAATAAAATAATTCGTATTTCGATCATCGAGAATCATCGGAGTGTCATTCATTTCTAATGTATTCGTTATCGAGAGTATTTTGGAGAAGGGCGACGAATATCGAAATAGCAAATACGTGTCTAGATTTGTATATATTTTGAAGGAATCGATACCTAAAATACCGATAAAGGTAGCAGGAAGTCAAGGGGGTAGGGGGAGGAAAAAAGCAAACGTCGGATTTTTTCAACATTAACAACCTCTCGACTCTCGACGAACGTTACGAAGCAATTTTTCAATTAACGTGTGCGAGAATCTTTTCTACGCCGTTTAAACCGTAAAAACGGTGGTTGCGAGCCGTGGTTGCACGGACA